ACAAGATTCTTTAATATGTTTTAATTTCAAATGTGTATCGAAAAGTTTTTTAGTAGCTTCTAGTTTTTCTTTTGTAAGGGGCCATTGTTCTGTCCAAATAGGCTTATCACTTTTTCAAGTTATTTTAATAATTGCATTGTTTGTTAAGTGAGCAGTGGCCCCAAGGAAAAATGTGGAATATGTATTTGAGTTTGTCATTGCACAAGTAAATCTCCTTTTATTAAATTAAGAGGTGCATCTGTCATGTAGGGTCATAATGTTGTAGGTTGGCCTTTTGGTCCCTCATATGGATATATTTGGGCATTTTGATAAACCTCTTGTATTTTGGTTTGAGAAACTCCTGCAATTTGGCAAGAAATTTTCTGTATAGGCCGAGATTTGGGCCATAAATATTCGGAAATAATAGTAATATCAGATCTAGTATCAAGGAGACCAGAAAATTTTTTGCCATTAATTTTGATATATTTGGTTGGGTATATTCACATATTATTGATGTCCATAAGGATTGTTTTTGATCTGAATTGTCGAATCCATCTGTCTGTACATGATTAGAGGAGTTAATAGAAATGTAAGATAAAGGAAGTAATTGAGCAATTTTGTTTCCCTTTTTGAATTGCCATAATATCTGAGATGACATCATAATTGGAATCTCTCTCTTATAATTTGAATCAATTACTCTAGGGTGAACAGTATTGACCAAATAAAAGACTGAAGGTTTGTGGGGGTAGGGGTCCAAAAATTCCTGTAGGTATTTTAGAAGGGACTATTTGAGGAAAAAGGATAAAATCATTTAGAGCTGGTATATCGTCGGTAGCATTGCCAGATGTTGAGGGTTTAAGGGAAAAGATGGATTTTGCCCTGGTTTTTGTTGATGGGGACCTGGGGAGTCCCCAGGTTGGAGTTTCCCGAAATAGGCTTTCCTATAATATCATATTTAGATTGACATTCTCTGGCCCAATGTATCCCCTTATGGCAATGAGGGCAAATTTTTGGAGGTTTTTTAATAGTTTTAATTTTTTCTGTGTGCTTTTTAGGAGAATCCTTTTTTAAATGAGTTTTATCCCCACATGTAAAACATCTTTCATATCCCTTTTTAAAGGTAGCCACCATTGTTTCGGTTAGCATTTGTATTTTTTTAGTTTCTGATCCTAAATTGTGATAAGCCTTTAAATAATCAATAATAGTCTCAATCTCATGAATTGGAGTGATAGCTCTTTAACATTTTTGGTTTGCATTTTTATAAGCAAGCAGTTTTTCTAGTTGCATTTTGGCCTCTTCTCTGATAACATTATGGGAAATAGCAACTTTGAATCTAGCTAAAAAATCAGCATAGGCTTCATTAGGTCCTTGAAATATTTTTGTGTAGTTATCTTCAGGTTTCATTGACTTCTAGCTTTCCAGGGGGAACATAAGGTTGGGGCTTACCCATATCCATATGTTAGGCTCAAAATCTGGACCATCTTTATTGGGGTCGGGTGACTCAACTATTTGGAGTTTATATCTGGCAAGGTTTTGTTTGGCTAAGGGCAGGTGTGTGGTGAAGGCTACAAAGGACTCATTTTTTATGTCCCAGTCTAGTAATCTAGAAAGCCTTTGTCATGAAGGAGAATGAGTAGATAGTGTTTTATCATAAATATGAGTATGTGTTAAAGGCTTATCATTGTCATTAAAGAAAGTATTGTTAGCTTTAGTGTCAAAAAGAGCCTCAGCAGAGTCCTTGTTAGAGTCATTTTCTCTTTGAGTTGAGAGGACTTTCAGTTTGGCGTTCATTGTAAGAGGGGGAGGAGCACTTGGGGCAGCGGAGCAGGGCTGGTGGGATAATTCTGAAATATTTTATGTTGTTTTAATTGGGCCTTTTGTAAAGTTTTATCATCAATTTATATTCATGTAACAAGTGTTCTGCCTGTTGTCAAATATCAGGGGGGGCTAGAATTTTCTTGAAATGGCAAAATCATGACTTTAATGAGGGCCCATAAGGGCCAGAAATCTATTAGAATATTTTTCCCCATCTTGTGGTTCATTTAACATTCTTTCTAACTTGGTTCCAAATCTTTAAACCAAAATTGCTTTCATCAAGGAACCAGGGATTATGTTCAATTACCGTTTGGAGACAAGCCTCTAATCACTGACGCGAAACCGAAAGTCCTTGAACCTTAAATAAATGATGAGGCAAAGTAGAAAAGTGGTGGGGCTTTCCAGCCATTTGTCCCATAACCCTGTACTTACCGACCTCAGTAGGTCCACACTCACTCTGTCTGCTTGCCAAGGGCATACTCCAAGTCCCTGTTTGGGTGACACTTGTTATGGTCTTGACAGATTGGAACCTGGGAACAGGAGTCGATGAAAAGAAGGACATGGGGGACCCAAGTCTCTAGTGGAACAAGGGTGCTTTATTCATGGCAGTGTGTGCTTATATATTATAATACAAGGAAGCTTTAGGCAAAAAATAAAGTTAAGTAAAAAACATCGAAACCAGATGCATAACAATAGTAACTAAGGGAATAACAATAGTCATAGGGCCATAACAACAGTAACTCGGGGAATTACAATCATCACAGGGTCAGAAGACAATCCATGTATTGGAAATAGGAACATGACTAAGTAGTTTTACAGAAAGTAAAAGGTTATTGAAAGGAATCCATGTATGCGTTCTGCCTCATGACCTCAGTCCTGAGAACTGCATGCAGCTCTGCTCGTTCCTGTTTTCCAGCAACTGATAAGGGACAGAGGGCCCTTGAGAAACAGAAAACAACATACAGGATTCCTTAAAATTAAACGTTTCCTGACACAAGTGAATATGGCAGATGAGGCAAAACCTTGTGCCCAATTTGTTTAACTTTTGAAGCATTAGTTGTGCGATATGTGGTCAGGCATTGCCATGGAGAATTGGGCCCTTTCTGTTGACCAGTACCAGCTGCAGGCATTGCAGTTTTCAGTGCATCTTATTGATTTGCTGAGCATACCTCTCAGATGTAATGGTTTCATCAGGACTCAGAAAGCTGTAGTGGATCAGACCATCAAATAGTGACCATGACCTTTTTTGGTACAAGTTTGGCTTTGGGAAGTGCTTCGGAGCTTCTTATTGGTCCAGCCACTGAGCTGGTCATTACCAGTTGTCATATAAAAGTCACTTTTTGTGACACATTGCAATCCAATTGAGAAACAATTTGTTGTGTAGAATAAGAGAAGACAACACTTCCAAATGACGATTTTTTTGATTTGTAGTCGGCTCATGAGGCACCCAGCTTTTTCAGCTTTCTGATTTGCTTCAAATGTCAAACAACCATAGAATGGTTGACATTGAGTTCTTGGGCAACTTCTCGTGTAGTTGTAAAAGAATCAGCTTCAGTGACTGCCCTCAATTGGTCATCAACTTCCGATGGCCGGCCACTTCGTTCCTCATCCTTAAGGTTCTCATCTCCTTTGCAAAACTTCTTGAATCACCACCGTACTGTATGTTCATGAGCAATTCCTGGGTCAAATGTCTTATTGGTGTTGCAAGTTGTCTCTGCTGGTTTATGACCCATTTTGAACTTGAATAAGAAAATCATTAGAATTTGCTTTTTGTTTATCATTTTCCTAATCTAAAATAAACATAAAATACACAGCAATGTCATTAGCAGAAAAAAAGCAAGAAATGAACATTAAAATGACATATAACATAACCACATTTATTTAAGAATGTATTCCAATAGCAAATGGCAAAGTTGAACAATGCAAAACCACAATTACTTTTGCACCAACCTAATAGTATCAATAAATTCTATTTACTGTATTAGAAGGCACTGTTTACTACCAAGAATTTCCATACTTCAGATAGTTCAGAGTCATTCATCAGTGTGACCATTAGATAAACTTTCCAAGCTAATATATGGTTTCCCAGTTTCATCTTGGTACAGATATTTGTTCTACTAGCAATTATTTAATAAACATAGGTTGTTGTGAATCTATATGAGGAGCTAACCATTTTCAAGTGATCTCAGACTTGCTTATTCCCTTTTTCTATTTGATTTGTCAAAGCCAGTTATTTTTTGAGGAGATGTATATTTTTATCTAATCTGCTATAATCTAGGCTATAGTTCAGTGTAATTACCTTGGTTGGGCTTCCCTGATGGCTCAGATGGTAAAGAATCTGCATGCAATGCAGCAAACCCGAGTTCGATCCCCAGATTGGGAAGATCCTTTGGAAAAGGTAATGGCTACCCACTCCAGTATTCTTGCCTGGCAAATCCCATGAACAGAGGAACCTGGCAGGCTACAGTCCATGGGGGTCACAAAGAGTTGGACACAACTGAGTGACTAAGCAGGCACACACACATAGGTGAAGGTATTAAATGATACAGTTTCGAATAAGACTTCTGGTGATATTTTATCCCTGGTTTATGTTTAATATATCTATACATTTATATAAAAGCAGGCCCACATGTTTAGTTGTACGGTTTGTGCACTGCACAATTATACCCAGTTGGGGAGAAGGTTAGTACAGCCTAAACCTGTGCTCAGCTTGTCACTGTATTGCCTTGGAAGGGTTGCATCTCTCACAACACACTTTTTTCCAATTTCTGAGTGAAAGGGGCTGTATAGGTCAGCAGCAATCCTGTTCATGGGAAGGAAGTTTAGCAAAGCTGGGACTTCTTTTGTCATTAGTCTTAAATGATACTGCAGTAAATTTCTACTCCAAGTCTGGGTAGTTTACAAGCTTAAAAGCTAATAGTTTTTTGTTTCTTTTTTTCAAGTTTATTTTTATTTATTTACTTGGCTTCTTCAGGTTCTAGTTGTGGCACATGGGATCTTTGTCGCATCACATGGGATCTTCCGTTGCAGCACACGGGCTCTCCAGTTGAGGAGCATGGGCTCAATAGTTGTGGCGTGGGGGCTTAGTTGCCCCACGGCATGTGGGATCATCACTCCCCAACCAGGGACCAAACCCATATCCCCTGCATTGCAAGGTGGATTCCTAACACTGGACTACCAGGGAATTCCCTGCTTTTCAATTAAACATTCATGATCCATAAATACACAGCTTTCTTAACTTTAGGAGCTTTAGAGTAAATGCATGAACCTTCCAGCTTCACACGATGTAGGGGGACATACATATGTCTAGGGTCCTATCTTTGGCAATGACCAAAGTACCTTATAAGATATAAAACAAATTAGAATTTCATATAACTCACCTAGTTTTCCAAATCACAGTTTTTCAAAATAGGCTTTCCTAGCCAAGTATGCATGAATTGATGGTTTCAATTGCTGCTGACCACAGGGTATTCTTTGAGTAGTCCCACCTAGTGTGTCAGGAAGGGGCAGCCTTGCCTGGATCAACAGACAGATGCAGCCAGAGGTGAACCAGGACCCTTACCTGACAGAACACAATTTGGACGGTACTTTGTAAAAGGACGACGGGCAAGGGATTAAGATTGCCTCAATTCCACCTCTGAAGAGTACATGCTTTTCTAAAGCCACCTGGCCACACACACCCCCTACACAGATGCGTCATCATTTGATTTACTGGATTCTTATTACACTTACTCTGGGCTCAGTTCTGGCATGTTTGAGATATTTTTTCCACTTTTTTTTTTTTTGCTTCAACCCTTGACTAGGATACAGAATGGATCTATCTGAATGACAGAGAAGAGAGAATCAGCCTAAATGGTTGGGTGACCTAGTCCCAAAATAAGGCTTGATTCTCAAAAGAAAATGTGGAGAAAGCATAAAAAGAGAAAAAGGATTCATTTCTTTTTTATAGATTGTTTTTTAATACTTATTTTTGGCTGTGTTGGGTCTTAGTTGCAGCATGTCAGCTTCTCTCCAGCTGTGTGCAAGCTTAGTTCCCCCGAGGCACGTGGGATCTTAGTTCCCTGACCAGGGATCAAACCAGAGTTCCCTGCACTGGATGGTGGATTTTTTTTTTTTTTTTTTTGCTGCACTGGTTCTTCATTGCTGCAAGTGGGCTGTCTCTAGTTGTGGGGTGAATAGGGGCTACTTTCTAGCTGCAGTGGCTTCTCTTATTGCAGGGCACAGGCTCTAGGGTGCATGGGCTTAGTTGCCTTGTGGTATGTGGAATCCTCCCAGACCAGGGATCAAACCCATGTCCCCTGCATTGGCAGGCAGATTCTTTACCATCTGACCACCAGGGAATTCCCCAATAATTCGTTTCTTGAGCCCTACTATGTGGGGACCATGTGGCCCTGTGCCACCCAGTCAACAAACTTTGGAAAGCTGTGTCATGTTAGGTGCTAGGAATACAGTGAATAAAACAGACACCCTGCCCTATGACACTTATGATCTAGTGTCTAATAAATAATCATGCCAGTCATATTTGGGATGAGTGTCACAGAGGAAGGGTATAGGGAGCTCTGGGAGTGTGCCCTAGGAAACTGGAGAAGGGAAGACACTTGAAGAAAGGGTGGAGAATGGACTAAAGGGAGCCAGTGTGGATGAAGGGACACCAGGTAGAAAGAATGCAGCAGCCTGAGTCAGAGATAATGGTGGGTAGGGATGCTAGAGATAGAAAAAAATCAAATATATCTGTGTCATACACAAATAAGCAGATTTGGGGGGAGTTATCATCAAGGCTATGGTTTTTCCGGTAGTCAGGTATGGATGTGAGAGTTGGATGGTGAAGAAAGCTGAGCACCAAAGAATTGATGCTTTTGAACTGTGGTGTTGGAGAAGACTCTTGAGAGTCCCTTGGACTGCAAGGAGATCCAACCAGTCCATCTTAAAGGAGATCATTGGGTGTTCATTGGAAGGACTGATGCTGAAGCTGAAACTCCAATACTTTGGCCACCTCATGTAAAGAGTTGACTCACTGGAAAAGACCCTGATGCTGGGAGGGATTGGGGGCAGGAAGAGAAGGGGACAACAGAGGATGAGATGGCTGGATGGCATCACCGGCTCGATGGACACGAGTTTGAGTAAACACCGGGAGTTGGTGATGGACAGGGAGGCCTGGTGTGCTGCCATTCATGGGGTCGCAGAGTCGGACACAACTGAGCAACTGAACTTAACTGATCATCAAGTAAGTTTTGGATGTGTTGAGATTGAAGTCCACGTGAGATGCATATCCTGTTAGAGAGCTTAAGGATAGTGAAAAATGTGGATCTGCAGGTCAGCTGAGAGATTTGGGGTGAAGACATAAATTTGAGAATCAAAAGTACACATGGCATTTTGTTGTTTTTTGGTTGCTCTGGGTCTTCATTGCTGTGCGTAGGCTTTCTCAAATTGCGGTGAGTGAGGGCTACTCATTTTTGCAGAGCACAGGCTCTAGGCACACTAGTTCCAGTAGTTGCAGTATGCAGGCTCAGTAGTTGTGGCACACGGGCTTTAGTTGCCCCACAGCATGTGGAATCTTCCTGGACCAGGGGTTGAACCCATGTCCCCTGCACTGGCAGGTGGATTCTTATTCAGAGTTCCACCTGGGAAACCTACTATACATGGTATTTGAAGCTATGTGAGTGGATTACTCATGGAAGAGGTCTCAGACTGAGTCCTAGAAACCTAACTATTTAAGGACTAGTTAGAGGAATTTTGAACAACAAAGTCACCTCCAACCAAAAAGAATAATCAGTCACCTGAAAAGGAAGTCTAGGGTAAGCGTCTATGGTTGCCAGTAGCTGGGCTGGGTTCAGCTGTGGCTGTTGGCAGGGCTGGTGATGTGGTCCTTCCCGGGGAGTGGAGTGTAGTAAGTGACCCAGCGCTGCACTGAGGCAGCAGGCTCCATATTGGAGCCCACTGGCATTAGTCCCTACGGAGTGCAGTTACATATATCATGTCCTTGTTGGGGTCTAATAGCCTAGCTTAGGATCCCGGTCCTCCACCGAAGAAATGGCTGATTGTGTCCAAGTCTCTTAAAACTAAATGTTGGATTATACATCTGTAAAATGTAGGACTGTCTTAAGGGTTACTACCATGCTGTAGTATGAATCTTAATTATATTGGATTTCCTTAATAGGATCATTCCTGTAAGAGGGCCTGGTCCAGGCCTGCCAGGGGTACCTTAAAGCTTCTGGACAGACCTGAGGAGTCAGCCTCTCTTCTGGATCCCTCTTCCACTGGCCAATTCAACGTGGAACAAGGAATCATCCAACTTTCCTCCCCTTCCTGGTCATCTGGCCCAGAGAACCTGTTTGTCTTAGAGGTGGGGACAGGTTCCTCTGCCTTATGCCACCTCAGTTTTTCAGACTAGGTGTGGCAGAACAAGCAATGGACCGAGACCTTTTATACTAGATGAAAACAACCACCCATTGTAAAGGTGAGAGTTGAAAAGGAGTTCAGAGTGCTTTAATTCTACCTCTGAACAATACCCCTCTCAGAAACCACTCTGCCACCACACCCAGTACATATATGTCGTTAAGTTCCTCCCTGGCCGCTGGAGAACCTTCCTAGAAAGGTCATCACTGCCTGTCCTGAAGTCTGTCCACTTTATTCCAGTAAACTTACCCCCATTTAACTTTCTCCCCACTTCAATTCATCCCCAGACTTCTCAAAGAACATTTCTGCTAGAGAGAAAAGATGAGTTTTTAGGGAGCTTGGAGAAAATGAGTTAAAACTAAGTCATTGGGCCAACCTAGATGGCCGGTAAGTCACCAACCTATGAAGATACATCCCTGCCCAGTTCAGACGTGGGCCTCACCTCTCTCTCATGGATCACTGTACCCCATCTCTGGGTCCCCTTCCTCCACTGTTTCCCTCTCCAGCATCCATACCACACATGGCCTGCTACAACGGACTCTTGAAAACAGGTATGGACTTGTTAAAACTCCAAAGGATCAAGTTAAAACTTCAGGTTCAAGGCCCCGTCTCAGGAATCTCTAATTTATCTTTGCATCCTCAGCTCCCAATATTTACTCTGCCAACCACATTAAACTTGGAATGTTCCCCAGCCATGTCCTGTTTATCCCCACCTCTGTACCTCTGCCCAGACTGCCCTCTCCCTCTCCACTGCTCCTTACCTGCTGGGAAAACCCCCAAACCCATGTGGTAGGTTAAATATGGCCACACATTTTTGGAACTTACATCTTGGCTGGTGTTGGGACTTGCTTTGACCAACAGAATGTGGTGAAAATGACATGATACAAGTTCTGATGCCCAGGCCTCAGGAGGCCTGTAGCCTCCACTGGGACAATCTTGGAACCCCGAGACCAACATGCCATGACAAAGCCCAGGACAAAAGAGTGCAGGAGAGCAAGGCCAGTGCCCCAGTTTCCAGCTTACACATTAGCTGAACAGAGCCATGTGAAAGACAGCCCAGGTGGGTCCACCAAAAGAACCTCCCAGGTAACACAGAATCTTGAGAAATAAAAATACTGGTTGTTTTAAGCATTTGTTTAATGCTTGGGATAGTTTCTTACATAGCAGTAGATAACAGATACAATGCAGTTCTAATGCGAAGTAACCTCTGTCAAGTTTCCCAGTCAAGAACCTTCTCTAAGTGCCCCGAAGTGTTTTCTACACATCATATCACTTTATAGTCATTTACTATCTGGCTCGCCCGAGATACACTGAGCTCTGAGGATGAGGTCCGAATCTGATTCAGCCTCCCTCCCAACCACTCATGGTGCCATGCTCAGTACTCTCAGATACCATGAATGTGTCTAGCAGGTATGCCTAGATGAACATTTTACATGCAAATTACTCAACAAAGATTTTTAAAGCACATCCTATATTAACGGAATAGGTCCTAGGCCCTGGAATTCCTCTCAGTCTAGCAGGAAAACTGCACATTACAATACAGATTTGAAGTGTTGGAGGCAAGTGTATTGCTGGAGTGTACAAGGCAACTGGTAGGTGGGGGAGTCAAGAAAACCCCTAGAAGAAATTACGTTTAGCCTCATCATAAAGGGTGAGCAAGCTGTCACTGCTGGAAGGAAGCTTGTGGGCATGTCCCCACCCCCTACCCCCCTTATCCAAGGGAGGAGGGATGCATGGATTGGTCAGGTTCACAAACACAGTCCGGGAGGTGGGGCCTCAGCTTGTGAATGAGAAAAGGGGGTTTAAGGTAGGTCCCAGTCTGGGGATGACTCCTGTCTATTTCTTCTCTCTCAGACATTCAAGGTAAGATGGGGACTTGGGCTTCTTCCTATTAACAAGGAGGTGCATTTTCTGCCCCTCCCTGCCCCACTGTCCTTAGAGTGCTAACCAGAGGGCAGCCAAGCGAACAGGAACCAGGGCAAAGCCCCAGGGTTAGGGCTCTATGTTGGGTGCTGGGGCCAAAAGTAATAAAAGGTGTGTTCACCTGCCATATCTGTGGTCCATATTCAGGAATACCTTGGGGTTGTAGGGGGCTGGAGGAATCTATGTTCCAGTCATCTGCCACTTGGCATCAAACCAGAGGAGAGAAAAACCAACAGGAACTTTTCCTGTTCCCAGGAAAGTAAGGCAGATAATCCCAGATGGAGTGAAGAGAATTAAACACGTGGAGCGATGAGTGAGAAAGGAGCACAGAGAGAAGCTCACAAAGGAACGCTATACAGTCCTGCGTGAGAAGGCTGGACCTAACTCACAAAAGATGACCTGCTTTGCCCCATAAACATTCCTGTGTTAGCCAACTGCTGACGTTCCTAGGGTACTCACTACATGCCAGGAATGGTTCTAAGTGCCTTACACCAATCAACTCATAATACCCTGGGAGGATTTGTATCTCATATATCCTCTGTGACAAATAACTTGCCCAAGGTCCCCAAATGAGGAACCTGAGGTTCAAAAATTTCAACTAAGTGGCAGGTCTGTCCTCTTTGACCAACTTTGCTACTCAGAAGCTGTGGTATCTATCAACATTGATAGGACTTCCCTGGCGGTTCAGTAGTTAAGACTCTGCACTTCCAATGCAGGGGGTGCAGGTTCAATCCCTGGTTGGGAAACTAAGATCCCACATGCCTCGTGGTACAGCCAGAAAATTTAAAAATGAAACAACAACATAAAACTGTGATACAGGTTCTGCTGAGATGGACTTACCAGGAGGCATCCTGCTGGAGGTGGTATTTGAAGGACAAGGGATCAGGGCCGGCAGAGGCTATGATAGCTTAAAGTGCAGGAACTTCACAGTGCCTAGAAAAGTGGACGGGGAGTAGGGAGGAATCCAGGAAAAAGAATCACAGAGAACGTCCCCAGAGCTTCACAATGTCAGCACCCAAGAACAGATGGTCAGCAAACCAGTACCACCGTTAGGAACAGGAACCGGCTCAACCTTTTCCTTAGTTTCCTATCAAAAGGTGGCCGAGATCCAGGTTCCTGAATCAATTTTATCAAAGTAAATGCAGGTTAAGTGAAACAAGAATTATTGTTCAAAGTCTACTATGTGAGACTATTCTCCTTCTAGAAACAATTGTGGACAGAAAGAGGAGATAGAGAATGCTTTTTAATTATTTTCTAAAACTAGCATTTGTATGGTACTCTAGCACTGACAGTATTATTTTCTTGCTCTAGATTTTACTGAGAGATGAATGTTAACTCTTCAATTTTTCAGAGGAGAAAACTGAAACCTAGAAGGTTAACACATTTATACAAAGTCACACAGCTAATGAAAGCTGGGATTCACACCCAAGTTATTCAGACTCCAAATTCTATCCTCATTCATTCTTTTACTCTTTCATTCATTGGGGGGGAAAGGTATTGCATCCCCTGAATGTTCCAAGTACAGGACTAGTCACTGAGCATACTTTCATGATAAAATAGCTTATTTTCTGTTTCTCTTTTTTCAGTGCATTAAACACTGAAGCAGGAATCCATGAAAAGGAAACTACATCTAGTATTTCTCACGGGATTTAGTGATTACAGTTTTTTCAAGGTTCTCTCACTTTTATTTGTAGCTAACTCCTGCCATTATTTCATGGAACACCTGCTCTGTGCCCATCTTGGGCTGGACATTGTGTATGGACTGTAACAACCAGGCATGAGACTACAGTTTGATCCAGTAATATCTACTATGTGCAAACAACTCAATCTGAGAATATTTACTGAGCACATTATCTGGGCAAATTACTCATTCAGTAATATTTACTGGTACCTCTGATAATCATAATAGCTAATATTTACTGAACACTTGAATCCTATGGACAGAGGAGCCTGGTGGGCTGCTGTCCATAGGGTCGCACAGAGTCGGACATGACTGAAGCGACTTAGCATGCATGCATGCATTGGAGAAGGAAATGGCAACCCATTCTAGTGTTCTTGCCTGGAGAATCCCAGGGACAGATGAGCCTGGTGGGCTGCCATCTATGGAGTCACAGAGTCAGACACGACTGAAGTGACTTAGCAGCAGAAGCAGCAGCAACTGAACACTTACTATCCGCCAAGTACTATGCTAAATTCTTTAGACATTATCATTTAAATATCTCAATGATTTTTAAAATATTTACTTTTATTTGGTTGCACTAGGTCTCAGTTGGGGCATGTGAGATCTTCAATCTTCATTGCAGCACATGGGATCTAGTTCCCTGACCAGGGACTGAACCCAAACCCCTGCAATGGAAGCACAGAGTCTTCCACTTCCAGTCTTAACCACTTCCAATCTTAACCACTGGACCAACAGGGGAGTCCCAGTAACTCTTAAGAGGTAGCAATTTGACAGCTTAAATCAACAGGCTCAGCACATGCAGTTAGAAAGTGGCAGGGGCAGGATTTGAACCAGGCAGCCAGTATTTTCCCCCAGTATACTGTCCCAACTCCCACCCTGGGAAGGGCAGGAGGGAGACAGTAGTGAACAACACAGATGCCATCCCTGCCCTCAGGGTGCTTACCGACTAGGAGGGAAGATAAATTTTGAACAAATAACCCCCCCCAAGGACATACCTGTTCAAGTGGAAGTAGAGGGTGAGGAGACCATTAAACAGGTGAGGGAGAGAAAGGGAGGTCCATCCCAGCAGTGGAACAGCATGAGGGAAAGCTCCAAGGCAGAAAGAGGATGGCAGTCCCAAGCTGTGATTCGACTACGGCCAGGGCAGATGGATGACAGTGAGGAGCTGTAGAAAAGAGCATGGGGAGTGGCCTGTAAACTTACATTGTTCAGAGTTATCCCAGCTGCTCTAGGGGACAGATCAACTGAGAGCAAGAAAGTGTGCGGCGAGACCAAGCAGAAGGTTCATCTGAGCAGTAGATGCTAGCTTAGATTAGCCTGTTGATAGTGGAAATGGAAGGGGACTGACTGATCAAATATTTAGGAGTCAGGATTTACCAGGCTTGGGGGGGGGTGGGGGCGAGGTGAGCGAAAGGAGGGGGATAAATTACAATTTGGGGCTTGAACAACTCAGTGGGGGTGGAACTCTGGGAAGGAAGACCAGAGTTCAGGTTGTATCTGAGGTGGCTGTGGACCACCATACAGAGCTGGTAAGTAATAGGCGGTTGGTTGGACATATGGTTCTGGAGCTTGGAGGTGCTAAAAGCAAAGGAAATCAGCTTGCACAAAGGTGAAAAGAGTGTCTAGGACAGAGCCCTGGAGGAGTCCCCCTGGCCCCGCGCCATTAAAAGACGATAGAAAGGAAGAAAGGAGCAAAGACAGCTGCGAGACATGCTTAAAGAGGGAGGAGGAAAGCCAGGAGAGAGTGGTGTTCCTGAAATACGGAGCAGTGTGTTCAAGAAGGGCAGGACCTGGTGTGACTGAATTTAGCAGGCAGTAAATAGAGGTAAGGTTGTTGTGATCTGGGATTTGTCCTGAGGTGTCCCCATGAAGGCAGGGCTTGAGGTTCACCCAGGCAGACCGGGGGATTTGGATACACACAGGAGAGGGCCTGACCTGGTATGTGTGGGGAAAAGAAACTAACACCAGCAGATAGAAATAGAAAGAGGTGGGGCCAGAGGATGAAGAGGGTAAAGAATTGGTGCCATTCACTCACTGGCTAGTTCAAGCTCATTTAATGCTCTAAACTACTGTGCGTGGGAGGAGCTACCAACCCTTTGGTAGAGAGAACACTCAGCGCTAGAGATCTGAAATGACTTGTTCAAGATGATACATGGAAGTGGTGATGACTGAATTCTAACCTGAGTCTGAGTCCAGGACTGTCACCTCATGCCTCCTTGACTGTGGTGGCAAGGAGGGAAATAGGTCACAGAGGGTCAGGGCTCAACAAGGGTAGAGAGGAGGGAATAGGCCTGGAGAGATCTGGATGTAGTTTCAACAAGGTGTGGAAAGTAGGTGTAAGCTGAGGGTGGGGTAGACAGTCAGGGTATTTAGTTGGAGCAACTGAGCAGAAAGAGGTTCCAGTCATTGAAGAGGATTCACAGGGAAGACAAAGGCTTTGACTTGGACTTGATGAGCCCGCCCGGCCTACACGAGTGACAACCAGAGGTAGATGTCAGGAGGTGAAAAGATACACAGATTTGAACGTCAGAAAACTCTAGACTGTGGGAGATACGATAAGCTTCAGTACGCTTTTTTACCTTCTTAACAACAAAGTTGAGAAGGGGCTGGTTCTGGAAGAGACGCGACAGGGGATGGGCGTCATTCTGCTGATTCAAAGACTACTCCAAGCTCACTTTGATTGGTTCCCCCCACAGATGACCTTTCCCCGCCACAGGTCCCTGAAGCCCAAGATCCTGACCTGCCTTCTGGTGGGTTTGAGTTTCTCCCTCCTGCATCACTGGTTCCTCGGAGCCCCCAGGTTTCAACAGGAGCAGAGATCGGATGGGTTCCAGCAGGTGACCCAAGTGGCCACGTCGCCGTCCAGCCCAGGGCCTCCGTGCGTGGCCAACGCCTCGGCGAACGCCACGGCTGACTTTGAGAAGCTGCCCGCGCGCATCCAAGACTTCCTGCGGTACCGCCACTGCCGCCACTTTCCGCTGCTCTGGGACGCGCCGGCCAAGTGTAGGGGCAGCCGCGGGCCCTTCCTGCTGCTGGCCGTGAAGTCGTCGCCGGCCAACTTCGAGCGGCGCGAGCTCATCCGCCGCACGTGGGGGCAGGAGCGCAGCTACGGCGGGCGGCAGGTGCGCCGCCTCTTCCTGCTGGGTACGCCCGCCCCCGAGGACGCCGAGCGCGCAGAGCAGCTGGCGGAGCTGGCCGCGCTGGAGGCGCATGAGCATGGCGACGTGCTGCAGTGGGCCTTCACCGACACCTTCCTCAACCTGACGCTCAAGCACGTGCACCTGCTCGACTGGCTGGAGGCCCGCTGCCCGCACGCGCGCTTCCTTCTCAGCGGCGACGACGACGTCTTCGTGCACACGGCCAACGTGCTCCGCTTCCTGGAGGCAAAGTCGCCCGACCGCCACCTCTTCGCCGGGCAGCTCATGAGCGGCTCCGTGCCCATCCGCGAGAGCTGGAGCAAGTACTTCGTGCCCCCGCAGCTCTTCCCCGGGTCGGTCTACCCCGTGTACTGCAGCGGTGGCGGCTTCCTCCTGTCCCGCCACACGGTCCAGGCCCTGCGCCAGGCCGCCCGCCACACCCCACTCTTCCCCATCGACGACGCCTACATGGGCATGTGTCTGGAGCGCGTCGGCCTGAAGCCCAGCGGCCACGACGGCATCCGGCCTTTCGGCGTGCAGCTGCCCGGCGCCCGGCAGCCCTCCTTCGACCCCTGCATGTACCGCGAGCTGCTGCTGGTGCACCGCTTCGCGCCCTATGAGATGCTGCTCATGTGGAAGGCGCTGCACGACCCGAGGCTGAGCTGTCACCGGGGGCACAGGGTCTCTTGAGGCTGGGAGGTCAGTGTGGGGGTGCCGTGGGGGTCAGTCGTGAGCAAACTAGGAAAGGCAGTGACTGGGGAATCTGGGAAGACAGTATTGAGAAAGCCTTTGGAATGTCAATGTTAAGGGGTCGTGTTTGGGGGATGGGGCATCTGATTAGTAAGTCTGAAGGACAGCGATTAGCGAGTGAGCTGGGAGAGACCCAGGTTCCATTCCTGGGTCCGGAAGATCCCCTGCAGGAGGACGTGGCAACTACTCCAGTATTCTTGCCTGGAGAATCCCATGGACAGAGGAGCCTGGTGGGCTATGGTCCACACAGTCGCAAAGAATCGAACACGACTGAAGTCACTCACAGGCACACAAGGGCACCTAGAGTCTGTTGTGAACCAAACCTCCATTGGAGGTGGGGGGCTGGGGGGTCGGGTCAGTAACCAGACTCTGAGGATCAGGCTGTGGTCCTGACTTCAGGAGCTGCCAGTTGTTGGCAAAGTACAAAAATCAAAACAGCTTGAAAATGAGGCAGAAATGTGTGCTGTCAAGGCCCCAACTATGTAAGATGGACAAGAAGGGCTGAGCGTCAAGGAAGAAAGCCTGGATGAGAAGCCAGGAGCCTGACCTGATGCCTTCCCTGCCCTCAGGAGGAGGTCCAGTCTTCCCCCCACCGTGGACCCCCTCTGGCATAACCATGTACTTTGTCACTTGGTCGGGCCCTCTCCCAGCCCTGCATCTTTGCAAGCTTTGATCCCTTTACTGGAAATGTCCACCAGCCATCACTGGCCAAGTCTCTTGTCTGGATGAGGAGGCCTGAAGGGGCTGGGGAGCTGTCCACCGAACTCTGTTACCCCCTTCCTCCTGGACACACATGTAAACTATACTTCCCAGACTCCCTTGAAGTGAGTTGTGGGCATGTGACCAGCCTGTCTTCATGTCTGTGTGTAGTTGTAAAGAAGACCCCTCCTGAACCCAGGCCTCACTTGTGCTCACTTTCTCCTTCCCCCTGATTGGCACATGGATGAGCCTATAACCTTGCAGATGCCTGGGTTCCTCAACCTTGGCACAGTTGCCATTCTGAGTTCTTTGCTGTAAAGGGCTGTCCCGCACTTTGGAGAACATTTAGTCATATTCCTGTCCTCTGGCTGCTAGATGCCAGCATCACACCCCAAGTTATAACAACCAAAAATATCTCTGAAGTTTGCCAAATGTACCCTGGTGAGTGGGGCTTCCCTGGTGGCTTAGGTGGTAAAGAATCTGCCTGCAACGCAGGAGGCCGGGGCTCCATCCCTGGGTTGGGAAGATCCCCTGGAGAAGGAAATGGCTACCCCCTCCAGTATTCTGGCCTGGATATTTCCACGGACAGAGGAGCCTGGCAGGCTACAATCCATGGGGTTGCAAAGAATTGGACATGGCCGAGCGACTTTCACTTTCACCCTGGTGAGCAAAGTCACCTCTAGTGTGAACTGCTGACCTAGAGGAAGGCAGGAAAACAAGAGGGCTTCCTAGTTCACTGCAGGGAGCAGGGCTGCTTGTGGACTAACCTGGAATACTCAGCTCAAACTACTGAGAAGAACAAAATAAACTTTTATGTTTTTTGAGCCTCTTGGATTTTGTTGACACTTTGTTAGGGCAACCTTGGTAACGTCGTGTGTCCTCTCTGATCCCTGTTTCCACCCAACCGGACTGGCTGCTCCCAGAGGGAGGGACCATGTCTGAATCACGTCCAGTGATAACCCATGGAGGGAGGCCTGGCATCCCGCAGGCTCACTCTTGGCTTGGGAGGCGGAAGGAGCAGGAGGAAGAGGCACCGTCCAAGCAACCTTTCTACAGTCCTGGTCATGGATCCCCAGGAGCCATGGCCACTTGTCCCTTGCCGGCCTTGCTTCTGAGCAGGGTCTGGCTCATAGTAAGAGCCACCCTAAATGCTTTAGGGGTGAAAAAATGAATGGATGGTGCCCATCTGTCCCAGTGGTATGAACCGTATCCATCAGGACAGTGTACTAGTTTCCTATCATGGCTGTAACAAATTGCCACGGATTTTGGAGCTTAAAGACACATTCATAGTTATTATCTTATAGTCCTACATATCAGAAATCCAAAATGAGTCTTGCTGGGCTAAAAGTCAAGGTGTCAGGCCTGCATTCCTTCTGGAAGGTTCCAGGGCAGAATTTGTTCCCTGCCTCTTCCAACTTCTAGAGACTGCCCACGTTCCTTGGTTTGGGGCTTCCTTCCATCTCCAGAGGCAGCAGTCACATCACTCTGACCTCTGCTTCCCTTGGACCCATGTCTTCTGACTCTCCTACCTTCCCTTTCATTTATAAGGATTCTTGTGATCACACTGGGTCTGCCTGCATAATCCAAAATTATCTTTCTGTCTTAAAGTCCACCAATCAGCAACCTTCATTAATTCTTTTTTTCCCCCATGTAACCTAACATATCCATAGCTTTCAGGGATTAGGGCCTAGACATTTTTTTTGGTGGGGACATTATTTCACTTACCATCAGTCAGTCAGTCGATCAGTTCAATCACTCAGTCATGTCTGACTCTTTGTGACCCCAAGGACTGCAGCACACCAGGCCTCCCTGTCCATCACCAACTCCCAGAGTTTACTCAAACTCATGTCCATTGAGTCAGTGATGCCATCCAACCATTTCATCCTCTTTAGTCCCCTTCTCTTCCTGTCTTCAGTCTTTCCCAGCATCAGGGTCTTTTCATATGAGTCAGTTCTTCGCATCAGATGGCCAAAGTATTGGATTTTCAGCTTCAGCATTAGTCCTTCCAGTGAACACCCAGGACTGATCTCCTTTAGGATGGACTGATTGGATCTCCTTGCAGTCCAAGGGACTCTCAAGAGTCTTCTCCAACACCACAGTTCAAAAGCATCAATTCTTCTGTGCTCAGCTTTCTTTATAGTCCATCTCTCACATCCATACATGACCACTGGAAAAACCATAGTCTTGACTAGACAGGCCTTTGTTGACAAAGTAATGTCTCTGCTTTTTAATATGCTCTCTAGATTGGTCATGACTTTCCTTCCAAGGAGTAAGCGTCTTTTAATTTCATGGCTATAATCATCATCTGCAGTGATTTTGGAGCCATCAGTCAGTCAGTAGGTCAGCTACTGTTTCCACTGTTTGCCCATGTATTTGCCATGACGTGATGCCACAATCTTAGTTTTCTGAATGTTGAGCTTTAAGCCAACTTTTTCACTCTCCTTTTTCACTTTCATCAAGCGGCTCTTTAACAGACAAGAAAACAAGAATCCTGAGGCCAGGAGAGGACACCTCTGCATCTTTGGAAAAGTCTGAATTCTGTGCTTTGACAGCTTCTTCCTCCCATTTCCCTGACAGTCAGATGGATTATCCCCACTTGATGGATAAAAAGATTTAAGAGTCTGGGACCTCACAGCTCAGAAGGATCAGAACACCTCATTTATAGGCCTACTTTGTCACTCTGGGTCCTGGTCAGCCCCTCTCGGAAGCTGAGCTGCTCCCACACCAGGCCCAGCGAAGGCCCAGGGCACGCGCAGCCCTGGCATCTCTTGATGTCAGCCGGTTCGCTCCCCTCACCTGGCCCTGATCACCTGTCCCCACGAAGCCTGCCTGGCTCATAGGGCTCTTTTGAGATCCGCAGCCACCAGGGGGCGCGCCCTGCACACCATTTCCTCGCGGTGGCGGCGGCTGGTCCTTGAATCCGGAAACTCTGGGCCCTGGGGGTTTGCGCTGCCAACTCCCTTCGCTAGGCTAGCCTAGCTGACAAGAACCCCACGATTAAGGAAAATGATACCCCTGTCTCACTAACAAACACAGATGCAAAATTCTACACGAAATGCTAATACACAATGTGGCAATATGTAAAAAGGATGACATAGCACCTAGACGGATTTATCTCAGAAATGTGAGGTGGGCCTAGCATTAGAAAAGGAATCAGAATATATGGATAAAATAGGAATATCCATCAATGTGGTAAATCGCATCAAGAGAAATATGAATTTCTCAGATGTGGGGCGGCTGTNGGGGGGGGGGGGGGGGGGGGGGGGGGGGGGGGGGGGTGGGATTTGTGATAAAATTCAACATCCGTTTGTGATTTAAAGAAAATCTTAGTGAAAGGTGGAAGCATTTCCTTTGAGTCTGAAAAGACTACATGTGCCCATCATCACCACTGTTCAACTGTCCAAGGCTTGAGAGCACAGCAAGGTAAGGTAAAGGTTTAAAATGATACTGAGGTAATTCCCTGGCGGTCCACTGATTAGGCCTCTGCCTTTTCACTGCAGAGGAGTGGACAAAAAAAATTTTTTTTTAATGATAATGACTTGAAAAAAAATTATGAAAACTTCAGAGGTTTGTAACCCTATTAGATCCCATTTCTCCATAAAATTAATGCTGTACTCCCTATCCTGAAATGAAATTCTTTGATAGTATTTTCAAAAAATGAATATAATTCTTTCATTGTAATATAAAGTGTTAATAAATAATATGTATTATGATGTGTAAATTCTTGGGCACAACTAACTCCCTTACAGATTCTCAAATCTCCCTCTAGGGGGCAGTACACCTCATTGAGAAACAGCCTACTTTAGAAAACCCACGAAAACACACAAATCCTACAGTTAATTGATTAAAATAATTTTAAAATGTGGCAATTTTTCCAGTACAAAATCAATGTACAAAAATCAATTTAATTTCTATATAGTAACAAGCAATCAGGGGAAGTCATTTTGTAAAAGTACCATTTATAGTAGAAATAAAAATACAAAAGTGAAAGTGAAAGTGAAAGTCACCCAGTCATGTCCAGCTCTTTGCGACCCCATGGACCATACAGTCCATGGGATCTTCAGGCCAGAATACTTGAGTGGGTAGCCTTTCCCTTCTCCAAGGGATCTTCCCAACCCAGGGATCGAACCCAGATCTCCCACATTGCAGACGAATTCTTTACCAGCTGAGCCACAAGGGAAGCCCCAAAGCAATCAGGAAAAGTCATTTTGCAAAAGTACCATTTATAGTAGAAATAAAAATATACCTAGGACTGAATCTAAAAGTGATGCAGTTAAGATATGTTAAAAATATATATGTCAAGGCTGTATACTTTCACCCTGCTTATTTAACTTATACGCAGAGTACATCATGCAAAATGCTGGGCTGGATGAAACACAAGCTGGAATCAAGATTGCTGGGAGAAATATCAATAACCTCAGATATGCAGATGACACCACACTTATGGCTGAAAGCGAAGAGGAACTAAAGAGTCTCTTGATTAAAGTGAAAGAGGAGAGTGAAAAAACTGGCTTAAAACTCAGCATTCAAAAAATCATGGCATCTGGTCCCATCACTTCATGGTAAATAGATAGGGGAACAATGGAAACAGTGACAGACTTTATTTTCTTGAGCTCCAAAATCACTGCAGTTGGAGACTGCAGCCATGAAATTAAAAGACGCTTGCTCCTGGGAAAAAAGCTATGACCAACCTGACAGAATATTAAAATGCAGACACATTACTTTGCCAACAAAGGTGCATCTAGTCGAAGCTATGATTTTTGCAGTAGTCATGTATGGATGTGAGAGTTGGACTATAAAGAAAACTGAATGCCGAAGAATTGATGCTTTCGAACTGTGGTGTTGGAGAAGACTCTTGAGAGTCCCTTGGACAGCAAGGAGATCAAATCAGTCAATCCTAAAGAAAATCAGTCCTGAATATTCATTGGAAGGACTAATGCTGAAGCTGAAACTCCAATACTTTGGCCACCTGATTGGAAGAACTGGTTCGTCTGAAAAGACCGTGATGCTGCGAAAGATTGAAGGCAGGAAGAGAAGGGGAGGAAAGAGGATGAAATGGTTGGATGGCATCACTGACTTGATACTGACTTGATGGACAAGAGTTTGAGAGAACCCCGGGAGCTGGTGATGGAGATGGAAGCCTGGCGTGCTGCAGTCCATGGGGTCGCAAAGAGTCGGACACGACTGAGCAACTGAAATGAACTGACTGAATATTTATTTACTTTTAGTTGCACTAGGTCTTCTTTGCTGCGAGAGGGCTTTCTCTAGTTGCAGCAAGCAAGGGCTACTCTTCATTGTTTTGCATGGGTTTCTTGTTGCCATGGCTTCTTTAGTTGCAGAGCACAGACTCTAGGCACAAGCTTCAGTAGTTGCTGAATGTGGGCTCAGTAGTTGGGGCACAAGAGCTTAGTTGCTGCTTGCCATGTGAAATCTGCCAGACCTGGAATCTTCCAGACCTGGGATCAAGCCCATGTCCCCTGCATTAGCAGGCAGATTCTTATCCACCAGGTAAGTCCTAAACATCTTAATTAACATACAGAGATAGCATGTTACAAAGTACCTCCAAAACCCCTGAATTCCTTGTATCTTCCCCCCATCCAGGGAACAGGGATTATTATCATTCCCATTGGGCAGATGTGGAGACTGAGGCCCAGGTAAATCAATGACCTGCCCAAAGTCACCAAGACTGCTGGACCCTGACTACTGCCCCAGGCACCATGCTGGACAGCCACCAAACCCAGAGCTGAAGCAGTTGCCTAAAGAGGCAAACAGCACCACCGTCCCCTCACCCCGCCACAGCTAGAACATCATTTGTGTAAA